CAAGGTCAGGAACAGAAGAATTACCAGAATTTTTTTGTTATGGCCTCCTAGGGATGGGCTGCTGACATCCGGAGGTGCCACGAGAAAAACCACAGTCCCCTTCAGAATGGAGTGACCAACTCCACAAAATCTGGCCTTTGGCTTACAAGGCATTGGATGCTGCTCATCGGGCACACAAGAAACAACCTGACAAGAAGAGGACTAAGCAAAGGGAATTAAATATTGGAGACCATGTGTATTTGTCTACCAAATTTCTCCAAACCACCCAGAAGTCTAAGAAACTGGGTCCTAAGTACGTTGATCCGTTTCCTATTGTAAAGACTATCAACCCTGTCTCGGTGCGACTGGAACTGCCAAAATACCTTCACCATGTTTACCCAGTGTTTCATGTCAACCTTTTGAAGCCAGAACACACTTCCTCTCTGCGAGTTCCTCTACCTGCACCACCTGCCCCTCTTCTCATTGAGGGAGAGCAACATTTTGAGGTTAAGGAGATATTGGACTCTCGGAAACATAGAAATCGAATTCAGTATCTCGTTTCCTGGAAGCATTTCCCCCCCTCTCATACTGAATGGGTCGATAAGTCCCACGTGAGGGCTCTTCGCCCTTAGCAGAAATTCTATTCTGCCTATCCCGACAAGCCTTGACCTGGATTGGCGTGGACATTTTTCACCTTCCCTTGTTCCTGTTTTCTATTGTTTGTGTGTTTGTTTGTTCTTTTTTCTGCAGGGATGATTTCCTTTCCTGATGGAGGGCCGGATGTCAGCAGCCCATCCCTAGGAGGCCATAACAAAAAAATTCTGGTAATTCTTCTGTTCCTGACCTTGATATGTATTCAGTATTCAAATTTTTTGCACCTCTTTTTTCTTCCTAACCCCACATAACCGATTGGGGCTCACTTTTGGGCACAAAAGGATCAGTTTCCATTTCTACCTTATTTTCGCAATAATCAGATTTGCTACCTTGTTTTTCAGTGACTGTGTGAAAACTAACTCTCATAATCCTCTCACATTCTCAAGGCAGAGTATCAACAAGCTCCCCCGCCCTCCGGTTAGTTGATAGGCATGGCATTTTCATTTCATTCTGCATGGTTTCATTACTAAGATTAAACGTATGTGGATCCTGTTTAAGGATTATATATTTACCTATTGGTAGGTCTTAGTCTGAAGGAATGCCTCCACCCCAAAATTGTCACTGACTTGTAATGCGAATTTTTAATAAACGACTTTCTTAACTCTCCATTTCTTCTGTTCCTCCTCATTTTTTTCAAGCATGGATTAGCATAACAATTTCTTTAATTTTCCCCATTTCCAAAAAGATCAAAAAATGTGAGTGGTATGAAAACCATATTTTCTTTTCAGGAAGGAGCAGAGCACATAAAGCAATCCACTTACACATTGCCTAGTAATCAGATCTTTTCTATATAATAGAAGCTGGTGTGCATTAATATAATTCAAACTATTTTACAGTGTCAATGGATTTCTGGTGTGATAAACCACAATGAGTGTTTAATTCCTTTATGCTATTTAAATAATTAGGTAATTCTATTCATCTTCATTCAGACAAGGAACATATTCCATGTGGAAGAATAAGAATAAGCCATTTGGCCTTGCTTTCTGATTCCTTCTAAATTAACTAAGTAAATCATTGGAACTGTCTTTCCTCAACTGTGCTGCTGAATTGATCAGTCCGTATTATAAACTGAGATACCTCATAAAAATCTGGCTATTTTCATCATCATTTATTCTATTGGTGCAAAATCAATATCTTATTTATATTTCATCACAAGTTGTTCAAATGCAACTCATATTTTCATTGGTAGTACTTTCATCTTACAGTTTACATATTCCATCCTGAAGATGACCAAAAGGAAATTAATGAAAGGGCTACTGTCCATACATTCCTTCACACTTAGAACAAACTCCCCTTTGAGTGTAAAACTTTTTGTAGCTAAAATAGCATCATCCATAAATAGAAGATGAAATTATGAAGCTCCAAGGAATTACAATATTTCTAATTCAAATATTTAAAGGAAAATGCTTATAGCATTTCCTTCATCTTCAAATACTACTAAGGATCTTTAATGGGATGGAATTTTACTAGCTCCTTATCTTTCTTCCTTCTGATGAATTCAAGGAGCTATGGTATGTCAGACTTGTTTCATTGATATTTTATTTTTACAACTGAACAGAATGTTGGATGTGTATGTGTATGTATGTGTGTGTATGTATGTGTATCCTCAGAATATCTATGTGTCCATCAAAAGATTAAAATTAAACAGAATTGGACCAAATTTAATAAGGTGGGAAAAGCTAGCAAAAGACTATCAGGTTCAAAAATGATGAAAGAAAATGATGAAAACAATAAAAAAAGAAAGAAAAAAAGATGAAGAGTGCTAACGACCAGATGATTGCAAAGAAATACAATCCTTCGCCCCCCCTTCTTATCAGATCCTTCCATTCCCCCCACCATCCAGTCTCAATTGTCAGTACCTATCCTTCTACACATACACCCCACCAGCAGAACTAATGAAGCTTTTTGGATCAGAAGCAAAACATTTTCTTCTTCTTCGTCAAGAAAAAAACAGTCCAGCTGCCCTTTGAAGAAAAAAAAAAGCACCTTTGAGACAACCATGATCTGGATAACTGAGAATCTCTACAAAGAGATGAAGAGAAAAACATTCCCGGTAGAAAAAAATACACCTATGGGAAAGGAATTGGGCAACGGCTTGTAATACTGCAAATAATTCGATTTTAAGCCTGCCTTGCTACTCTATCCTGGTTACATGACCCAAGACAGATCCCTTATGAAGAAATCCAGCAGTCCCATTCTGCAGATTTTCTCATTCTTATTTGCTTACAGAAAGGTGTGGCTTTGCAGCTTCCACTCACAGTGAAGAGGGATATTTTTCTCTCTCTTTTCTGCATGAAAACATCTGCAATGAAATAATGATAAAGCTGCAGGGCAGAGAACTGATTGACAGATGATTTTTGTACATGCCCCTTGGTCAACTAGTAGGGACATTGTCAGTTCATGCAAAAGACTGAGCATTGAAAGACAGCAGTGTTGATGGGGGTGCAAAAATGCTGGAAGGTTTGTGGGTGATGCCAGTGGTTGTGCGAAAGTGCTTTAAATGTCACAAAAAGGATACAGAAATGAAAAGAAAATTAGAACTGAGAGGGTATAAAATTTGGTATTCTAAAAGAGAACCTTGCCAGTCAGTCTACTGACTAACCAGCTCAAATACATATACATTGAATACAATAAAATAATAAAATAAAATAATATTGCACATAGCAATTAAAATGATTACAACACAATATAATAAAATACAATAGAAATTGAATAAAATACAACTGCACCCAACAGGACAGATATGGTGCAATATTTTTGATGTTGCAGATTCCAACTATTAATTAACACATTAGCAATATTTCTTCTTCCTCCTGATAGTATAACTAAAAACAAATTAATCCTTTAAATGCCTCTGGAAAAAATAGTGTTTGTTTTCACAAGTTCCACTGAAATAAATGAACTGAATTGAAATAATAATTCCATGCAAATGGATTTATGAATGAGATGTTATTGATTCAAAATAGCCAGTCCACTATTCAAGAGATTACAGCTGTGGTTGATAATGTCTTATCAATTATAGTTTCCCAGCAACAGTTGATTTTTTTTTCTTATTACTATATTTATGAAGATATAATGAGTTCTCAAGGACTGACAGGTTAGACTGATTCAATTAAAAAACATGCACTTGAATGAGTAGCTCTTAATCTCCTTGCAAATCCATTCACCATGCAGCATTGCTTCTAGTTACTTCTGTGTGTGTGTGTGTGTGTGTGCGCTTGTGTGTGTATGAATATCTACATATACACATACACATACACATACACATGTTGAATATCCAGCCCCACGGTAACTATGAATGGTGATGTATTTTAAATTGTTGTTTGTCTTATTTATTCCCTTTCCCCTTTTTATTGTAAGCCGCCCGGAGTCCTCTGGGAGTGGGTGGCATACAAGACTAATAAACAAACAACATACACATTTACATACATATGTACCCATGCCTCTATCTTAACTCAGCTTTTAAAAACGTAATCAGTAGTGGGATTCAATTTTTTTTACTGCTGGTTCTGTGAGCGTGCCTTAGTGGGTGTGGCATGGCTTGGTGGGCATGGCATGGTTTGGTGGGCATGGCTCGAAGGGCATGGCAGGGGAAGGATACTGTAAAATCTCCATTCCCACCCCACTCTAGGGGAAGGATACTGAAAAATCCTCATTCCCTCCTGATCAGCTGGGACTCAGCAGAGAATAGATGGGGGCGGGGCCAGTCAGAGGTAGTATTTACCGGTTTTCTGAACTACTCAAAATTTCCCTGGTTCGAATCTGATGAATACCACCTCTGAACGTAATATCATGTTAATTTTAAATATTTTTAATTTTATGTCAATTTTTGAGATGTTAGTATTTCATATCATTACCATGATTCAATGCGACTGTTGGAATCCTTTTTTTATGAGACCCATGCTTATCTTTTAAGATGTGCTATAATATCAGACTGTTGTGATCTTGTCTTGTTTTAGGTCCAGGAAAGAAACAAGTTCTTCTCTGTTTTCTATCTTGCCATCAATGCAGGAAGCTTGATCTCCACTTTCATTACTCCTGTGCTAAGAGGTCAGTGTCATTTTACAATGACCATGGGTAATGGAATTTAAAATTCACTCTTGGGAAACAAGATCAACTAAAATGCCACAGATGCGTTGAGCTCATAATGATTAGATGCATCCCCACAGCGCCCATCTGCTTCTAACTTCTTCTAACCTCTTCTGAGTAAAGAAATTAAATGCTCTTTTGGAATAGCTTCACTAAACCATCTCAATTATCCCTAATTGTTTCTGAAGAACAGCATTTGTTATATTTTTTTTTTGAAAATTGTAATTTTGGAATATATTCAGGAATATAACATCAACATACAACTTCCATCATTTTAAAAGGGAATGATTGCCACTGGAATTGTGGTATTTTGATGGTTATACTGTCTTCTTCCTCTTTCATCAACCTTAAGAAAATAATACAGAAGTTATCAGGCTCTCTTTCAAGCAACAACCCAACTCCAGATGAACATAGTACGTTCATGGTCTAAAATCCCAAGAATAAAGTTTACCTTCATACTTCACAGAGCAGTTCAACAACATGTGTACAAATATATTTTTATTATTTTCCCTGTAAACCTCTTTAACAGCAGGATGGAAGACCTGAGGGCCTACTAGCCTTTTGTGTTTGTTCTAGTATACAGTAGAAAAAACAGAGCCATTCAGCTGGGCTAATATGGATTGGCTTTTTGTTCCACACATTATGTTGGGGTGGGGGGAGGAGGAATACAGGCTTCTTACATCTACATAGATCATTGTTAGGAAAAATAAAAACAGTGGCATATTTTGGAGTGGAATGAAGACATAGGATTTTAAAATGTCTTTCTAAAAGAAAAACAAAAACAAAATAACCCTTATTTTCTCAGAAATTTGGCAGTGGTATGTGACCTTTCAGGTTTCAGTACCGAGCAGCTTCAAATACCTCCTGCTGTGTAGATCAGAAGTAAACTGTTTGTAGAGCAGAACACTTCCTGCTTTGACTGTAAAATTTTTGGCTCATCTTCTGGAAATAAAAATAAAAAAGCTCATATCAGGCATAAAACTGAACTTCAGACAGAGATGCTACACAGTAATCGTGATCAATATTTTATTAGCAATATTCTACCCGGTTGGTTATGCAGCTGCGTCAGGATTTTGTTTTCATTTCTACTATTTTCTGTTGTGCAGAATATTTAATGGGGGTGGTAAAATCCAAGCTTTGTGGCGAATATGCCTCAATACAGCCTGGGTATGTGCATGTGCATGCATGTATTGTACCATACTGCACAAGTAAAGACCAGCATGTGGGATTATTTCAGGCCATTTTCTCTGTTGTAGCTTGCAAAACAGGCTCCAACTTCAAAGCCTAATTCAGCTGTTCTTCCCCCTTTTCCACCTCACAAATCCCTTTAGTAAAGTATATCCATGCGCCCAGTGTTGCTATTAGGTAAGCCTTCCTGTAAACAAAATCGTGGTGCTTTCAGATCAAGTAGAGTCTTAGTGTTGGCTCAAATTTGGATGTCATTTTCCAGCAGCATAATTTACTTTCTTGACTCATTTCCCTGCCCTGTGTTCCGATACTTGCAGAATTGGATTGTATTTTTCAAAAATTACTGGACTAAGTCTTGCTTGATATAAGATATCAGGATTTTCAAAATGGAGATCCACCAGCAGGAAGATGAAGATAGAGTAGGTGTCAAAGAGAAGCACTTGCTCTCCCCTGGATCTGGTAATATCACACAGAATATTCTGAGTGAATTTGTAACCTATTGTCAGGTGATCAAAGAATTATTCCAATTCTTCCAAAGAATTCAAATTCCAATTCTCTTCATCCTAGTCTGGCTCCTTAGTCTGAGAAATTTTTTTCTGTTCTCAGATTTTATTTAATTACATGTTTTGTCAGTGTCTCCTATAATGCAATAGTCTGATTTGCTGAGAACATGGCAAGAGCCATGATTAGACTGCAGTATTGCAGCCTAACTCACTGCTCACTTCCAGGAGTTTGATTCTGATTCAGCCTTCCATCCTTCCAAGGTGGGTAAAATGAGGACCCAGATTGTTGGGGCCAATATGCTGACTCTGTAAACTGTTTAGAGAGGGTTGTAAAGCACTATGAAGCAGTATATAAATCAAAGTGTTATTGCTAAGTGCTAGCAAAATCTGTGCACAGTCCAGAATAATGATTTAAAGAATCATCATCATCATCCATTGTATGCTGCAATGGTATTTTGAAATTACTTCAATTGCAGGTTCAACAGCAAGAACCTTTAAATCACTAATATTTACAACAGGTTCCATAAAAGTCAAAGAAGTTAAATTCAGGATGCCACTTGGCATGGTCAAAGCTGAAATCAGTTCCGGTTGCATAGCGGTGGATTCCTAGGAGAGTGCCAAAATGTGCACTGTGCGTCGTACATCCAGACACTTCCTCTTTGTACAATATAGCAGTGGAGGGAAATGATGGAACAATCTTAATGTGTTTAAAGAATAACTTGTTTCTCATTTTCTTAGGGGGTGTGCAATGCTTTGGACGGGACTGCTACGCTCTGGCTTTCGGGGTTCCCGCTGCTTTAATGATCGTAGCTCTTGGTGAGTAGCAGGTATAAAAGAGAGTCTGAAAGAGCCAAGAAAGGGAAGGGCGATCACTGGTCCTGCAAACAACTTAAAAGAGACAATGTTTCTTCTGTGTACCAAGGAAGGAAATCTATGTGACATCCCCCCCTCCCCCAAAAGCTCCCTTTGTTTGTTTCTCCTGTACTGGAATTGCAAGGCAGAAATAAGGAGCCCAGAAGCTCTTTGTCTTCAAACAGCAGGGAAGTTCAATAGAAGTCCAATCGTTTCCATTCTGAAGAGGCCTTTCTACAGATCTGTGATATATTTGGTCCCCACGAGCAACCACACATTTTTAACACACCCCAAAGGGGCTGCTTTTATTGGCAGCTTCAAAATAGATCTGGGTTAACAGCTTATTTTATAAAATGAAAATTACTTTTCCATCTTGTTCAAAGCATTGTCCAAAGACAAAGAAGGGCAGCATATGGGTTACAGGCCACATACAGTTTCCTGGTTATATTTTCCTCGCCTGCCAAGATCATGTCATTGAAATTCATCAATAAAAATTCAGCATGATTTTAAGGTTTTTTTTTTAAAGACCCGCTCCCCAAACAGAGGCATAAATGAACCTATTTCAGTGAAAATATACCCATGAATGCTCTCATAAATGAAAAAAAGTCCAATATTTTGTCTTTATGGTGTAACTTTTTGTTTTTGAGTATTTTAGTAACGTTTTTATAAGATAATAATACAAAAAGAAACAAAAGTTAGAAAGGCAAAAGAAGGAAGAGTGGTGCAGAAAGAAAGAAAGAAAGAAAGAAAGAAAGAAAGAAAGAAAGAAAGAAAGAGGAAGGAAGGAAGGAAGGAAGGAAGGAAGGAAGGAAGGAGAAAAACAGAGTAGTGTTTTCCAATTTTTTTCAGCACAGTAGAGTACACTCCTTAGTCTGAGAAATTTTTTTCTGTTCTCAGATTTTATTTAATTACATGTTTTGTCAGTGTCTCCTATAATGCAATAGTCTGATTTGCTGAGAACATAGCAAGAGCCGTGATTAGACTGCAGTATTGCAGCCTAACTCACTGCTCACTTCCAGGAGTTTGATTCTGATTCAGCCTTCCATCCTTCCAAGGTGGGTAAAATGAGGACCCAGATTGTTGGGGCCAGAAAGTTACAGCCTCAACCTTTTGCTTTACATTTTTAAACATTTCAAGCATCTCAACAACAACAAAATCATTCTAATCCCTAAAACTTAAAATCAAAGTTTTAGTTTTCAGTTTTGAGCAAACTGTCCAGAAGTGGTTTCCAAGTAGAAACAAAGCTACACAGGTTCTTCTCTTTAATTAAAACAGTCGGTGTTGCCATGTCTGCCAACTACATCATCTTTACCGCCCATTCTTCCATTGTGAGAATTACTGTGTCGCTGATCTTTATGCTGTATCTCCAGATCATCCCGTAGCTCATGCAGCCTTCTTAAACTAGCATTTTGAGGCCAAAGACAACATAAAACAAAAATCCCATAGGGAATAAAAGGCTGATCATTGACTTACACGGCTTGAAAATAATTTCTCACTGGGGGTTTTCCAGTTCTAATTACAGTAAATATGATACAGTTTATTTAGTTTTTTTTAAAAAACATGCTGCCTTTGTCTCTGTTAAAGAACTCATTTTCCCCCCATCGATGAGCTCATGTGGAGTACTTCTTTTCAAGCCACTCCTGGATCAGCTCCATACACCTGTGACCTCCATGCCAATGTTTCTCTTGGAAAGCTGAGCCGATTTACTTCCTGCTGAACTGCAGTGCAGGACAAACTGCTCTGAAGGTGGTTTTCAGCTCAGTGTGCTGGAGCTTGGGAAGGCTTCATTTCTCCTGCCAGCTCTTGAGCTTCAAATATCCTAGCAGGGAATGCCTCTTGCTGCTAATGACAGACCTGAGATACATTATGTCTTGGCAGGGGCATTCTGTGTCTATATGGGTACACTGGCTAGTGCCAATCCTAGCATAATGGAAGCAAAGTTGCATCATTTAGGAAGCAATACCAGTGAGCTGTATTTGGTGTCAGATTCTACCTGCTATCTAGTAAATGGCAAAGTTCTGGAATCGGGATGCTTCCACCCCAAGGATGCACTTGGTCAAGGCTTGATCACACCTAAATCTGGGTCTGTCCCTTATTTTCATGCCACTTAAGGCTCTATGTACTCCAGAGCCTTAATCTATATGGAAACCAAACCAGTGCTTTTTATCAGGCATTAGCTGGGAGAGGGAGTCACTAGATGCCCCATCCTCTCCCTATGTTCTGATCTAGGTTTCCTGAGACAGTAAAAAGCACATGCTTAGTCCCAAAAGCCCTCTTTTTATTTAAACGGCTGTGAATTATGTTCATTCACAGTCCGTCACAGATGTTGTCACTTTGAGCAGCCACTAACCGAACTGTTATAAGTCGAGGATTACTGGTACTTAATTGTTCTTCAGGAAAGTTTGTACTCAGGTTTGCTCAACTCCACAGAGGAAACCAAGAAGAGTGTGAATTGGCCTGGGAGAGAATTTCCCCCTTTTCACTCCTTTTTTGCTGACACTTAGTTAAGCTGTTATTTGTGCTTCTTTTTCTCTACACAGGAGTGAGGCCTGTGGTCAGCAAGATAAAGTCAAATCACATAAGCAAATAAGCTCAGAGTGAGTCAAGGGACAGCTGAGAAAGGTGAAAATGAAACTGCTGCTGAAAACAGCCTGCTATCTTCTTCTGCCACGGCTGTCTCATTTTCAGGGCAAATTGTCATTCTGTTTAAGAATTCATTCCAACAATGTACATAGCATTCATGGCTACCTAGGTTTATTCACTATCTGAAGTGGCCTAATAGCAGAATTGGCCCTGAACAGTTATCAGCCATTAAAAATCAAGACATACAAGCAACAGCCATCCCGGTCTCCTGTTATTTGTCCACAAAGGGATATTATAGACCCGTGATGGTGACACACGTACCAGAATTGGCACGCAGAGCCCTCTTTGTGGACATGCACGCCGATGGCCCAGCTCAGCCAGCTGGTCATCGGGTTTTGGATGCTCTGGCGCGCACATGTGCACCTTCTGGTTTGGGGATTCTGTGCCAAAAAGGTTGCCATCACTGTTATATACTATGTTGATTGTTTTCAGAGACATGCAAGTTGCTCTAGTTGAACAACAGTTCACAGTTACAAAGGTGATGAAAAAGTAACTTTACAACTGATCCTCACATTTGTGACCTTCATAGATTCTGACTTTATTTCTATAACCCACCCAGAGTCACTTTGAGTTGGGCAGCCATGTAATTTTTTCTTAATAAATAAATAAGTCAGTTTAAGAAAGGAAAACTAACATCATATGTAAAGTCACAGATTTATTTTGCAACTATTTCATTTAACAACAAAGTTGTTTATGGTTCCAACTGTGGTTTGCTATCTGTGTTATTTCAGGGTTGCACATTTCTCTTTTTTGTCATGGTTGTTATTCACTGAGTGTCCTCTGTATATTTTCCTATTTTAAAAAACAGATGCCCAAATGCTCACCATGAAATTGGCTTCCAGGAAAAACACCTCAAGCCCTCTTTTGTCTGAGTTGACATAAAGTTCCAAAGTATATTCTTTGTATTCAAAAGATCTAGATCTGTTTTCTAATCTTCCAGACTGCATTAAGAAAGGTATTATTTTGAATTTCTGAAGAACCAGTTGGTGTAGACGAGGCTTCCCAGATTCTTCAGCTCTTCAGCTCGTCAACCCCTTCATGAAGTTTCAGACTGTTCATTGATACTCTCCCGCAAACATTTATCCTATGAAAATAATTAAAAACTACTTTAATTAGAAGTACTAATAGTAACAACAACATTGACCCTTTGGATAGTCCCATATACCTTTGAGGGTTGATCCTGACATTTTGAAGAAAACTAGTGTAGAAAGAATGGCTAGTGATTAATCTGAGCAGATTTCAGCATCTCCATGTTTCTATCAAGCTATACTGTTTGCAGTGCACTAGAAAAAGGATTTTGCCAGTTGATAGATGGCTTAGCAAGTTAGTAGTGGAAAGTTGCTGATGCTACAGAAATGTTATTGCTATTTCTCTCCCTTCCCCATCTTTCAAATGCCCCAAAGCTCCTGTTTAATAAGACATCAGTTTTGTGCTTAGTATTATTTTTAATTGGATGTCATCTGATGAGTAGAACATAGAAACAGTCAAGGGAAACATTGCTAGCAAATGCTGTCATTCCTTTTTAAAGTCTACCAATTAGTGAAATAGTTTTTATTGGATTGGGGTGGTAAATAAGCCCCATCAAGCAAGCACATAAATAAATAGACAAATAAATTGGCAAATAAGGCAATCTTTCAGTAGTAATGGAGTGAGTATGCACTATAGGATTTCAAATAACACAATGTAAACCTGAACATGCCTTTTGGGGTTGGTTCGTACTAGTTCTCTCTAATATTGTGTCAAATACTTACTAAGGCAAAGAAATACAGATAGTCCTTGACTTACGACAATTGAAGCCAATATTTCTGTTGCTAAGTGAAACATTTGTAAAGTGAATTTTGCCCCATTTTACAATCTTTTCTTCCACAGATGTTAACTGAATCACTGCAGTTATTAAATTGGAAATACAGATGTTGAATGAATCTGGCTTTCCCCATTGACTTTGCTTGTAAGAAGGTAGCAAAACATGATCCCGTGACCACAGGACTCGGCCACTGTCATAAATATGACAGTGGCATAAATATGGGTCAGTTTCCACATATCCAAATTTTGATCATGTGGCCATGGGGATGCTGCGATGGTCATAAGTGTAAAAAACGGTCATAAGTCACTTTTTTCAGTGCTGTTGTAACTTTGAACAGTCACAGAATGAACTGTTGTAAGTCAAGGATTAGCTGTATTTAGAACAGGAAAAAGGTTTTTGAGGCAGGAAATCAGAGAATAGCAAGAAGACTAGTGAAAATTAGTGCCCCACCTTGTGGAATAATTTCTTAATTGCTATTGGTAAGTTATTGTTATATAAATTATATACTCCTATTTCTTTACTGAAATTACATTTTTTTTCTAGTTGTGTTTATCACTGGAAACAAACTTTACAAAAAGACCCCACCGCAAGGAAATATCTTATTGAAAGTTTGCAAGTGCATTGTAGTAAGTACTATATGCTTTCCTTTTTTATGTACAAAACGTAAAAAAAAACTTTCTATTGCATGATCACATTTTTAGGATTAAAAACACAATCATATTGAAAAAAAATCTTATTGCTTTTACAATGAAATCCTATACATGCCTACTAAAGCCAATGGGACATACTCCTGAAATATAGTGATAGGATTAGGATTCTGAGAACTGAGTTAAACAACTTGCTGATTATGGCTTTATACATTTATTCAAGAATTAAAACAATTTTTTGAGCCAAGAAGCAATTGTATTCCTTTACTGTCTGCAAATGTTCTAGTATGCCTTAGTAGTCATATTCCATGGTAATTGATAAGAAAGATGTGGGTGTATCTTAAGACTTTTGTTGTATTTATTTATCATTTACAGTCTTTAGTATTTATTTAAAATGACAGGTGTATCGGCAGAGAATCAGAGAGATGATCTTGAGCAGGGGTGTCAATCTTACATCATCACGCAGCGTCATTTGACATATTGGGTGTTTTTCCCCCTTCGCTAAACTGGGCATAGGTGTGGCTAGCACGCAATGCATTAGGCCCAGGGGCCAGGAGTTTGACAGTCCTGATCTTGAGGGAAACAGGAAAGAAGCTTTACATAAGTTCCAAGAAGGTCACATCATTTGTCAAATCCTGGGGAACAAGACAATGTTTAGAAGGAGACAGGAGCTGACATCACAACGACACAACGTGCAATCTCGGAGCTCCGAGATCACAGTCAATACTTTTGCTGCTGGATGGTCCTTTTGGACCTAAACCATCCCGAAGAGATGGTGACAGGGAAGAGTATGTCTTGCTGATCTCAGGGACACCACAAAGTCCCTGATTGATCCAAGAGAATCTCTTCTTGCCGGCGACAGAAGCGCAGCCAAAAGCTGCTGAAGTTGGGACAACTGCGGAATGGAAGGAAAGCGGAAAGAGAAAGTGTGTCCATCTGGTGAGGAAATTTTATTGTTATAAAAGAGACGCACACCCCCCCCCAAATTAAAGCTAAATTAAATTTGAAAACAGAAGAAAATTACTGGTGAAATTAAGCT